AGTCAGGAGGATCTGAGTTCAAATTTGGCTTCAAACACTTACTGTGTGACCCTGGGCAAGTCACTTAACCCCAATTGCCTGCCCTGCCTGCCCCCCCCCAAAGAGATGTTTAATTATTTAGGGAAAATATGTTTTATTATGCTAAAATTTGAATGGGGGTGGGGATGGCCAAAGGGATAAAGGGAACGAGCATTTGATTAAGTGCCTGCTCTGTGCCAGGCATGGTGCTAAGCATTTTACAAGACAAGGAGTTTGGATCAACAGAAAGATAGGTACCAGGCATGTGATATACATGGGCCAGAAAAATCAATAGAGGTTAGCATAATTTAATAGAATTGAATAGAATTAGAATAATTCAATAGAAGGAGAAGTGGGTACCTGCTACAATATAGGCAGGCAAGACTTGGTTCAGTCATAGACTCTTAGAAGTGAGCAGGACCTCAGATGTCATCTCATCTACCTCCTACCTAAAACACAAATCCCTCCTACAACATCCTCCAAAAGTGGTTTCCTCATCTGTATAATGAGCTGGAGAAGGAAACAGCGAACCACTTCAGATCTCTGCCAAGAAAACCCCAAATGGAATCACCAAGAGTTGGACACAACTGAAAGGACTGAACAACAAGAAAAACAACAACAGAGAAATGAGGAAATAGAGGCGATGAGTGTCAATAGCTTTTTTTAGGAATTTGGCTGCGAAAGGGAGGAGAGGTATAAGGCGGTGAAGAGATAAAGTCAAATGAAGGTATTTTAAGGATAGGGAGATCTGGGCATGTTAGCAGACATTGGGAGAATAATTATGGAAGACATAGATACCATAAATTAAAGAAAGTTATCAAAGAGATAACTCCCGGATGAGACAGGAAGGGATGAGGTAAAGGGCACTAGTAGAGGGGATAGTGTTGGCAAGGAGAAAGTCCGTACTTTTCTCAGAGTTAAGAGAAAAGGAGTTAGAGGAGATTTGATTTTTAGAATTAGGGAGAAGAGGGAACCCATGATGGATGACTTCAGTTTCTTCAGAGGCTTTGCTGGAAGGCTGTTGTAGGTGGTTTCAAAAGGGGAAAAGAAGGTTTCTAACAGATGCTGTGGGAAGTTTGATAGACAGTAAATCAGGGAAGAATGAAAAGATTGGCCCAATTGAGAGTAGACAAAATAAATTCATAGTGGACCTTATTAGTGTGGTTGTGGGACTTCCAGGAGCATTCAGCAACTCAAGAGTGGTAATGAAGAAAGCAAATGGTAGAAGCAATCCAAGGTTGGAGATTGGAAAGAGATGAGTGGTGATAAGATAGAGGGGAATGGATTCAAGGGTAGAGGACAGTATAAAATTGATCTCAATCAAGATTTCAAAAATGAGACCAGAACAGATGGCCTGGGAAAACAGGGAGAGTGGGAGTGAGTATAAGAAGTGTTGATGGGATCGAGAGTGGAAGAAGTTCAAGAAGCCCTGCTCTAGGTCATCAAGGTAAAACACTTATAGATGATATGATTTCCAGAGTGTAAGCATCCATCTGTATGGCTGTGGTTTGGAGTGTGAAAGTGAAGTCCTAAGGATTTAAGGAGGTTGATAAACTGGGGTGTTTGTGGGGACATCAGCATGCGTATTGAAGACCCCAAATATAAGGGCAGGGTTGGGATTGAGAGGTAGGCTGATAACCAGGTACTGAGCTCCTTGAGAAAGTAAAGAGAAGGATGTGATGACTAGTACATAAAAGCATCTGAATGAGGTCCTATATCTTGGTGGGATGGACCTCAAGTGCTAAGTGATGGTGGTAAGGAGAAGGTCGAGAGTTGGCATCAAGGATCCTGGCACGTGGTGTCAAGGGACCTGAAAGAAGGCACGTTCAGTACCTTTAGGATCTCTGCCTTTAGTAGAGAGGTTGTCTTCTAGGGGTGGAATGAGCTTGTTTCCATCATTTCAAGGGTATGGAGAGTATGTGAGAGGAAGAGGCCTAAGGTAAATGATAGTTTGGTATCAGGTGATTGGGTTTTCCATAGAGATAAGGAGACAGCTGGATAGACACCTGACAGGGATAGGACTGGCAAAGATGGGGATTGAGGTCTGAGAAATGGCAGCGAGGCAACCACGTTTTTGCCCAGACAGCTTTTAGCTCTGAATCACCAGACTTCAGGGTAGAGCAGAGTTTGCTGTCTATGGGACAATGGATCAATTGTCACACCCTTCCCATTAGCAATGGTATTTGTGCCCGGGCCTCAGCTCAGAGTTGATTTGATTAGCATGCCCTGAGCAAAATGTGGAAGGGTGGGAGTGGGAATCTGGGCCAAATCTGGTAGTAAGGGGTAGTGGCAGGAAGCCAAATAGTGAGCAGCCTGGCATCTACAGCCTCAGTGGTTACAGAGGGCTGAGGCATGGTTTGTTTATTTACCCTCTCATCATCAGCAAGGTCAGTTCTGTCCCAGGCCCTAGTTTTGACATAGATTTGATTTTCAAATCAATGAGAGGCCATAGGAATCTGAGGCCATATGACGGGAGGTATAATGCATGGTAATTTGATGGTTATAAAGGACCATGACACCATTCATGTAAAAAACATCTCAATACTTCAGGGTATGGAAGGGTTACCTGCACTAAGGCCTGACTTCAATATTAGATTAGGGGTCAAAAGCCTGGGTTAGAATCTTGGCACTGCTTTTAACCATGCTGTGGTGGTGATCCTGAGTTGCCTCAGACTATGTCAATGGATGCTGAGAAGGCTTCAGATATAGGCTTAGTGATGGACTGTGCATCAGCTGAGGACTAGCCTAAGTCGTATGGGTTTATCACAAGTTTGGCCCCAGTGAGGTGAATTTTTTGACCACAGTAACTCTCCAAGACTATCCACTAAGGCCAGAGGGATTGGGATCTGCGTTGCTGGAGGGGATACCCACACTAACAAAACTGGAGATCCTTGGACTACTGAAGGAGTATTATATAAAGGTTTTTGTTGGTGGTTTATAGGTATTATACTTTAATTCTGATGGGAGTATTGGAGCATAAACATTCTAACCATCTATTCTTTGAGATATAAACTTGGTAATTCAACAAAAATAACAATATAAGCAAACAAAAAATTGATTTACAGAAAACCATAAACTCTAGCTATTTAGAATTTATTTTAAAATGTATGTATTAACTGCAACAAAATAATGACAATAGCCTAGCTTGCTTCTGTTTTCCCTTCTGATCTCTTTTTCTTCTGTATATATTTTTTCACATTTTGTTGCTGTTGTTGTTATTATTAATTGTCATCATTATTGTTTCTTTTTCTTTTTCTTTTTTTTTTTTTGGAGATTGGGGTTAAGTGACTTGCCCAGGGTCACACAGCTAGTAAGTGTCAAGTGTTTGGTCTGAGGCTAGATTTGAACTCAGGTCCTCCTGACTTTAGGGCTGGTGCTCTATCCACTGCGCCACCTAGCTGCCCCATTTCTTTTTCTTTTTACATAGTTGTTGTCTATGTGCTTATGGCCCTTTTGTATCTGTTCTCATCATTCTACATTATTTCATCTCTTTCCATATTTGTGTTCTTTATATTTGTAATTTCTTATGGTGCAATAATATTCGATTATATATATGTATATATATATGTGTGTGTGTATATGTATACATGTATATATGTGTGTATGTATACATGTATGTGTGTGTATACATGTGCATTGTGTGTGTGTGTGTGTGTGTATGTATATATACCACAGTGTGATATGTTTGCTCATTCTGCAGCCAGACATATGGGTTATTTTCAGTATTTTGCTGTTACCAATAAGGTTGCTATACATTTGTTGCCCAGGTCAATTTTTTTCTTTCTTCACAGCATCCTTGGGGTATTGTCCTTGTAGTAGGAGTATGTTTTGTTCCAAAGGAACCCAGGCTGGCCTGAAGCAATCATAACTCCCCTCTTGAATTCCTATTTTGTTCTTTCATGATGTCTCTAAATCTATCTCTTCCTTTAGCATAAGATATCCTAAATTCCCTGTTTTTAGTTTTCTAACCTAATAGCACAATTCTGGGAAGTCAGGAAATGCATATTTTCAGTTGTAGAGTGATTCCAATATGAGACTTTGTACCTTGCCTCTGTTACCAATTGCTGTACCTCTGTGGTCTTAATCAATTTGCTATCCCTTTTGGGGTCTCATTGTCCCATCTGTGAAGTGAAGAGTTTGGCAAAGTGAGTGCTGAGGTTACTTCTTGCTCTAACATGGCTTTTAAAAAATTTATTTATTTTTATCTTTGTTTTCTTTTTAAATTTTGAGTTCCAGATTCTCTCCCACCCACCTCCTACACCCTCTGAAAGCGCAAACATATGATATCAATTATACATAATATGAATTTTAGAATTTTAAAACTAGTTCATTAAAATGATATTGAGGTCACACTGGATAATATTTTCAGTTACAACACATACATACGATTTCACAAGGAAATCATGCAATCACCCAAGTTTGAAAGGAACCTCAGAGATCATCTAATCCAGTCTCTTTCTATTGTAAACAAGGAAGCAGACCCAAAGAGATTGAGTGACTTACTCAATAATATATGGAAATACATAGCAGAGGAAAATAGGAAATTATTAGCAGAGCCAGGACTCAATGCCATGTCTTCTGACTCTCCATCCATTGTTTTCATTACTTATACCAGTTTGGGAGATTGCAGTTTGGGGGATGAGGGACCCAGGCAGAGAGCTGGGCAGAGAAGGACCACGAACTAAAGAAAGCAAGAATCTATACGTGGGAATCTGTATATGAGGCATGGGGCAGCAGCAGCAAGAATGGAGGCTGGTATTGAGCCAAAGGTTTTCTGCAGCACAAGTGAGAGAGTTTGTCTTCTAATTCCTGCTCAAAGCCAGAACCGAGGTGGCAGCAGGCCTGCACCCTCAGGTGGAGACAATTAGACACACCTGGATGGAGCCCAGGAGGAGAAAGCAGGGGGAAAGAACAGCAAGGCCACTGAAGTATTTGACGTGTTGTCTGAATAGGTTTCATTGTGTTGTTTTTTTATGCCGCAGTACAGCCAAACGAGGATCCAGGATGTAAGCCATGCCTCATGGGCTACTTCTCCAATGCTTTTTCTTCCAAGTGTAAATCCTGGACCAAGTAAGTGCACTTCACAGTGAAATTACACACAATTGCAAATGAATACACACTGAGAGAAGAGGTGGGAGGAATGAAAAGAGAGTGCTACAGAATTTAAACAACTTGATCAAAGGAAAGAAGGAAGGAAAGGAGGGACTTATTAAGTGCCTACTGTATATGACCCGTGCTGTGCTAAGTGTAGTATTATCTTCTACAAGGGGCTATTATTATCCTCATTTTACAGTTGAGGAAGCTGAGACATATGGGTTAAGTAACGTGCCCAAGGTCACAGTGTCTGAGACAGGATTTGAACTCAGATCTTCCTGAATCCAAGATACTCAGTGCTCTAATTTATTTATCTTGATAGATTGTATTATATTTAGGCTGTGTGCACATGATGTTCAGACAAGGGGTTAATTCATTCAACTCAATGAAAAAGGATTGATTGAGCCATTTCTTTGATTTTAGTTGCCTAAAACAGAAACTTCCTATCACTTCACCCTCACTCTAATATGGAACATTTTAAAGAATTTTGTCTTCGCAGCTCCTTCCCTGCTTCTTATTGAACTTGTGTTTTTACTTGCTTTTACTTAATTTCTCTATTTCCCTTTAAATTATAACTCAGTTTTTCCTTGATATATTATTTTCCCTTCTTTCATTGTCATAAGTTTGTCATGTGCCACTTAGAAGTACTAGGAAATAATAATAATAAAAGAAAGGGATTAAAAATCAATATAGAAAGATGGCCATCCCCTACTGGGCAGACTGCTGCCGATAAGCCTCTTAGCACCTAGCCAGGCTGACTCTTGGATGACAGCTGAAAGTTGCTGTCATGACTGTTCGAGAAGCTTTTCCAACTAGATGGGACCAGTCTGAGTTTGAGCTCCACTGGCAGAGCCTTGGAGAACCCAGGGTCAACATTCTGTAGAGGAAAAATGTGAAATGCTTCATGAATTTGCATTTTACATAAACATATTTTAAAGATAGATTTTAATTTTAATTATTTAAAATAAATCCTTATAAAATGTAAAGAAGTCTTTTAAGTAGCTGTGATTAAGGAGAGTAAGCAGTTATTTACTGTAGACTTTTAATAATTTTCCAAAAAAGAATCACATTTTCTTATGAGAGCTTTATACTTTTTTTCAAAACAAGACTCCATGAGAGTTAAACACATATATCATGATTATTTGTGTTCCCTGGGCACTTATTTCCATCTGATTTTTTTTTTCTGTTCCACTTAGCCATTTCATAAAAGCTTTCTATGTTTCCAACTTGTGTACATCTTTTCATAACCATTGGAATTTGTCACTAATCCACCTTAATTCAGGAAGGGATAGTCAGTATTTCCTTTACCAAAAATATAAAACTGAGCTATAAATGACTATATTTTCGTATATTTCCTAGGGAACATTGACTAGGGTTTTCGTTGTGCTTCTTCTTTTTGTTTTTGAGAGCATGATGTAAAGGCATTAATTTGTTTATCTATTTTAAATTTTTTATTTTGCAGCTGCACCAGCCTTGGAATGGTAGAGAAAACTCCTGGGACTGATAAGTCAGATGTGATTTGTGATCCTTTGCAACCTGAAAAACCAGTACATGGTATATGATTTACAAAAGTACACGATAGTTAGAAGACATGCTCCAACACAATAAACTGTTTTACATTCCGACTAAATTAGGTGCTGCATCTTTAGTGGAACTGTTTACTTTTCGTTTTGTGTTTGGAATGACACCAATTATTAGTACAGTAATTAACTTTCCATCAGTATTTCTAGTGTATGAGTCATTCCAAGTGTATTGACTCAGAATTTTCTAGGTTGGTACTTGAAAGACAATGTTGTACTTATGTAGACAGGAGAAGAAAAAAGATCTAGGTATGTGAATGGGCAAAGATAGCTTTGACATCATGGCAGGGGTGGGTAGGGCAGAGTGGGGCAGTGGTGGGATTCATTCAGGGGCTGGCAATGTGCTAGAATCAACTCTGATTAGTCAGAAAAGTAAGAAATTTTGTAAAGTGGGAGGTACTTAGACTGGTGGAAGGGAAATGTGTAAGATGAGCTTCTTTGTCATGTTTGTTTCAGGTAGAGGCCAGACATGGCCAATTGTAGGGATGTGTCTGTCATAAGCAGAAGTGGAAAACTGAGTAGTCAGGTGTGATGAGTTAGAGGTGGAGCTGGATGGATCTTTGCAAACTGTGTGAAGACAGATGAAGCAGAGAACAGTGGAAAGGAGTAGATCAGATCATGTTATAGTAGGGCCTGGCCACCCGAGGTGCCCACAGTGAACAGATACAGAGATAAAGGAAGTAACTGAGCTCCAGCTTAAAGAAATTCTCGGTTCTCTCATTTTGGGATCCTGTCTTATAACGATGGCATTTATACAGTGTTTTAAGGCTCACATTTATATAAGGTTTTAAGGTTGACATTTATATAGTGGTTTAAGGTTCGCAAAGCACTTAAAGATGTTATCTCATTTCACCCTTACAGTAGCTCTGTAGGTTAGGTGCTGGTATTGTCCCCACTTTATAGATAGGGAAATGAAGGCTGAGAGAGATTATTTGTGTAGGGCCATGTAGCTACTAAGAGTTTGAGATTAGATTTGAACTGAAATCTCACTGACTCCAAGTCCCACACTCTCTCCACTGTGACACCTTATTTTGTGACTCTCAAAGGAGTAAAAGGCTTGAAGAAGGTGGCAGGTATTAGGAGAGTTTTCTTCCAGCCGTTTGAGCAAGGCCTGTTACACCTCTACATCACCTTGGCGTGGAGCTGAGCTAGCTGTTACTTTAGTGGGACACACATTCTAGCAGAGCCCTCGAGGCTCAAAAAGGCTTTTAATCTGCATGAAATCATAGAATCTCAGCACTGTAAGGAATCTTAAAGGCAGGGGAATCCAAACTTGACCTGAGAGAATTTCCCTTTAAAATATCCCTGATCAGTGCGAGGGGAACCTGCTTTCCTTAGAGGCAGCACATCCTACTTTTTGGGTGAAGTGAGTCAGTAGAAAGTTTTTCGTTACATCAAACCTAATTCTGCCTCAGAGACTCACTTAATTCTGTTCTCAGGTTCAGCCGAATAAGTTTAATCTCTACAACAAACGACAATCCTCTAGATACTTTAAGGCAGTTAATACCTCCCCTTAAGTCTTCTTCTTCTTCTTTTTTTTTTGGCAATTGGGGTTAAGTGACTTGCCCAAGGTCCCACAGCTAGAAAGTGTCAAGTGTTTGATCTGAGGCTGGATTTGAACTCAGGTCGTCCTGACTTCAGGGCCGGTGCTCTATCCAAGTCTTTTTCTTTAAACTTTACTTGTTTCATATACTCATGTCCCTTTGACAGGTCTCTAATCCCTTTAGGTCTAATTAGGCAGCAAGGTAACATACTGAATTACCCAGGGTGGGGGTGGGGGGCTTTGGAAGTCCTGGGTTTGAGTCAGTCCTCAGACACTTAATAAGCTGTGTGTCCCTGAACAACCACTCTGGGCTTCAGTTTTCTCATCTATGAAATGGAGGAGTTGGACTCAATGGATTCTCAGGTCCCTTCTAGCTCTAAATCTAGGACTCTATGATCCCTCGATAACCTAACTGCCCTCCCTGGATATATTTCAGTTTGTCAGTGTCCTTCCTAAAATATGGGACCTCACACTGAGTATCTCAGATGTAGCCTGACCAGAGCAGAGTGGGACAGGACTTTGTCAGCAATCAATTGACAAGCCTTTATTAAGTGCCTACTACGTGCCAGGTGTCTCACTTATCCTGAACATTTGGCTTCTCTTTATTTAATCTGAGATAACATTGGATTCTTTAGTCAACAAGTTAGATGATGACTCATCCATCCTGCAGTCTGATTTTTTTCACATGAACTATTGACTAGCCATACCTCCCCAATCCAGGCCTTATAACCTTGCCCATTTGAATTCAAACGTAGGAAGATACACTCATCTCTACATTTCATCTATCCTGGACAATCAAGGTCTTGTAAAATTCTAGTGATGTCTCTAACATGTTACTGTCCCTCCTATTCTAGTGTCTCCTGGAAGTCTGATAATTATACTTATCCTTTATCCCTTATCATTTATCCAAGTCATTGATTTTTAAAAAAATGTTAATAGGACTACATACAGAACTCTCTTTAAGGTGATATCAAACCATTAGTGATTACTCTTTGGGTGTAGACATTTAACCAGTTACAAATCACCCTGTTCACATCTCATCCTGTCTACAAGAATGGCGTGAGCCTTTATCAAATTCTTTGCTAAAATTGATGTACATAAGCATTCTCCTCATCTAGTAAATGCTTTCAAAAAGTTAAATTAAATTAGACTCTTGAGGCAGTTCTCTCCTTTTCTTTTTCACTGAAATTGTTTCTCTTTGTTCCGAATCTCATTCTTCACAGCTTATCATTTCTTAGCCAGCTTCTCCTGCAAATCATGCCTGTCCTTTCCTCTAGACGAATTAAAATCTGCTCTCCTAAAATCTGGGATGTATGTCAAACGCAATGCCCAACTTTTCTCTCCTCTGCCATAAATTTTAAGACTGGTCACTTCTCTGTGAAGTTCTTCTCATTTCTACCCCCACCCCAGCAACTTGTTTCTATTTGTTAGTAAGAATTAGATCCAGAATAAGAATTCTGCTCATTGGTTCCCACATCTTTTGAGGGATAAAATTGTGTTTTAGAAAATAAGAAATTATTGGTGGTTTTTTCTTGGGGACAGAGAGAGAACTCTGTCAGAGATGTGAATGGCTGAAGTCTTCCCTCTCTGTTACTATATTATGCTTCTGTGCTCAGGCTTGTGATTTGTTTCTGTTACTTCTTATCTATTTCCTCCTTCTGTCTGTGGGTGGTCTGTAAGATATTTTGATGACAATTTTGCTTCTGTTTCTGCCTCCATTGATTTTCATCCAAATGCTCTCTACCATGCTTCCATACTTTGTTTCCTGAATTTCCTCACATGAAAGACATTAATGTACATTGTTACTTACATACCTCCTCTTTCCTTGTCCTGTTGGGTTTTTTTTTATAAGGCATACTCTTCCAAAATGACATCAATTATTCAGTCATGTCTGATTCTTTGTGGCCCCATTTGGGGTTTTCTTGGCAAAGATACTGGAGTGGTTTGCCATTTCCTTCTCCAGCTAGTTTTACAGATGAGGAAACTGAGGCAAACAGGGTTAAGTGATTTGCCCAGGATCACACAGCTAGTAAGTGTCTGAGGTCAGATTTGAACTCAGGAAGGTGACTTCAGGTCTGGCACTCTTATATACTGTGCCACCTAGCTGCCCTGTGATAGCCACCAAATCAGTCACCAAAGAAAGGAACAGCAATAAGAAAGGAAGTTATGTGACCCTGGACAAGTCACTTAATCCTATTTGCCTCAGTTGCCTCATCTGTAAAATGAGTTGGAAAAGAAAATGGCAAACAACTTCAGTATCTTTGCCAAGAAAACCTCAAATGGGGTCATGAAGAGTCAGACGTAACTGAAAAGTGCAGCAAAATTGGCAGGTATTGGTAAACAGTTTTCTTCATCATTCTACTATGTTCATTTTCAAGCCATCTTGTTCTGTGTTAGTAGTGTGATGTGTAAAATGGATCATTTCAATTACATTAAATTAAAAAGTGTTTTAGTTTAGCTTTTTTTTTACAAGTGAAACAAATGTAGCCAAGATCAAAGGAAAGCAGAAAATTAGGGGGAAAATTTTATAGACAAATTCTCAGATAAAGGTTTCACATTTCAAATATATAAAGAACTTTGTCAAATCCATAAGAATATAAGTCATTCCCCAATTGATAAATGGTCAAAGGATATGAACAGGCAGTTTTCCAATGAAGAAGTCAAAACAATTTATAGTCATATGAAAACATATTCTAAATCATTATATTCTATATTGTAAGATTCTGAGGGAATATAGCTTTTATTAGCCCTCCATCCCTAGATGAGAGCCAAATTACTCCTGTCTTTTAAATCATATTCTAGAAATCTGAATCCTGTTTTCAGATATCATCCTGTTGGGGAGCAGTGTGGGAAACAGACCTATGACCCTACTTCTATGTAGGGATCGCTTAATAAGGAATTTCCTCCATCAACCCATATTGGAACCTTTTCTGCAACATGGGGAGTTGTCTGATGCCCTGAGAGGTTAAGTAAATTGCCCAGAGGCAATATGTGTCTGACAGATACCATGCTCTTCAAGACCCATTTACTTCCCAAATATGCCTTTCTCTTCTGAAGCCCTTATACTGTATTGTAAGAAATGATGAAAATATCTCCTTTACCCCTGAGGTCTTCGATTTCTTGCCCAGAACTTTATAATTCCTTAGCAAAGCTCTCTACTCCCCGCTTGTCATCTAAGTACCACCCAGATAAATTTGGAAAGATTCACTGGCCTTCCAGTGATGATGATTTTTTTTTGTTACAACTAATTAAGTCACTTGCTAAAATATGGCAAAACTTTGTTTTGTACCACACTGGCAAATTATGAGGTCTTCAATGAAAGTTGTTATTCTGGAAATGTTGAATTATATGATTTGGGGGCATGAGGAAGAGGATTTTTGAAGCTTATAGAATAAAACCAAATATTACACTAATGCATATTTTTTCCCCCATACAGAATCACCAAAATACTTACACAATATAATCTTTCTACTCCTCCTGGCATGTTTGGCAGTAATTACAGTCATCATCTTTGGGATCTACTATAGGAAGGAAGGGAAAGCGCTGACAGGTATTGTGTCTCAGTAGTTTAGAAACCATCTCATGAGAAAACTTGTATTTCTGGATGTATGTTTTCTTACTAAGTCAAGTCAAGTCAGCAAGCCTTTATTAAGTGTCAGCTGTGTGCCACACATGACGCTGAAAATTGTCATGCCAAGCTGTTTTTTATTTAAACCAGCCCAAGCAGCCAATCATATTTGATTGATTTTCTCTAAGTGCAAAGAGCGTGTGATTTGTTGAGCACAGATTCCCAAACATATCGAACTCTTCTGGCCTTCAAAAAGTTGAAGGTTCCATAGGGCAGCAGATATTCATGTAGGAGGAGACTGTTCATCCATTTGTTTGTTCAACAAGCGTTTGCTAAATGCAAACTCTAAACGATACCAGAAATACAACTATGCTTATTATATATATGTAAACATGCATATAGATATAGAAATATATATACACATATACATACACACATACATACACATACACACATAAATGCGGGCTCTCTCCCTCCCTTCCTCTCTTCTCTTTTTTCTCTTCTCTCCTCTCTCCCTCCTTCACTTTCACTCTTTCTCTCCCTCTCTCTCATTTTCTGTCTCTTTCTCTCATTTTCTCTCTCTTGCTCTTTCCCTTCTTCCTTCTCTCTTCTATAGCAGTACTACTTCCAAAACTCCCTTACTTCCATTTAAAAAACTAATACATTAAGAAGTATTATAGCTATGTTTGCATCTGTTGACCAAATATGACCTCTTACTCCTCCAATTTGCTGAGGGGCTTATGGCTGCAGCACTTTACATGGCTCTTATTACATTCTGGCTCTGTCTCCTCCATGGCATTTATTACATGGGGCCTGTTGCACTTAATTAAGGAAACATTTACTAAGAACATAGTATATGCACAGGCACTATTCTAGGCACTAAGGCAGAGTCCTGATTTGTAACCATATCTTATCTCCTTAACAAGATTGTAAACTCCTTGATGTTAGAAGGACTCTGACTTATGTAGCTTTATCATTGTGCACAGAATCCAGCATAGTACCTTGCATGTATTAGGGGCTTAACAAATATTTGTTGAATGAATGAATGAATGGATAGGTATAGCTGTATTCACCATTGGAGATTGAAGGATCACATTTTGTGTGGACAGATCACATTTTGATTTTTTAAAAAGTAAAAATATTTTTCTGAGGAAGGAGTCAAAATGTTCTTCATCAACTGTCACCATTAAATAGATACTAGAATTTTAAAAAGACTTTTGGGAAGTAATCTAGTGATGGCAATAGAAATTTGTTCAGTGATCTCTTTTGAATTATTTTAAAATATTTGTACTCCTAGCAGGACAACCCTTCTATCTGTAGGCTTGATCCCATCCCCATCTGTCTTTTGGAAGAGATTGCTCTCACTATCATCTACTCTCTTTAATCTTCAACCTCTCTCTATTGGTTCTCTCTCTCTCTTTCTCTCTCTTCTCTCTCTCTCTCTCTCTCTCTCTCTCTCTCTCTCTCTCTCTCTCTCTCGATATAGACATATAGATATCTATATGTGTGCTTACATATATACATATATATATGGTTCCATCCTTGCTACCTTTACACACCTGTCTCCTCATCCTTAAATAAATAAAAATAAAATCCTTCACTATACCTTACCATCCCCTCAAGCTACCATATTATATCTCTCCTCTCTTTCCTAGACAAACTCATAGAAAAATCTGTCTATACTTGTTGCCTCCCTCTCCTCTCCTCTCCTCTTACTGACTCCTCTCTCTTCAAAGTTACCAGTGATTTCTTGATTACCAAATCTGATAATCTTTTCTCAGTCTTCCTCATTATTTCTTTCTCCTTTCTGGGTTTTCATGGTTCTTCCTGTTTGATCTCTTCTCAGTCTCCTTTTATGGAATCATCATCCATATTATGATATGTGTGGTTCTACTCCACACCTCTGTCCTGAATCCTTATTTTCTCTCAATACTGCAATGATCACATACATTAGCTGTCAGTATCCACACTGTGGTGCCTTACTCCTTCCACAGTGGTGTTTGGACACCAGTTTACTCTCTGGGCTGGGCTGGCTATCTCACTCCAATCTACTTTAACAGTATAGTTCTAGATTCCCAGGGAAGTAACACCAGCAGAGTTACACTCAAATTCTCTCAGAGTCTAGCAGTAACTCTGTTTAGGGGAGAATATGCTCATCACTTTATCTCTTGAGCCCCCGCTGATGTGTTTCCATTTAATCAGTCACTCAAAATGTGACATTTTTATATCATAATCTTAACTGTTTACTAAGCAGTAAAACAAAAGAAATAATAAAACCTTCACAAGTATTCATGTATTAAAGCAAGTGGAAGGATAATAAAATACATCATAATCTGCACATAAGCACTCTCCCACCAATGCATTCAGTTTGTGTTTGGAAGAATGGGCAGGGAAATACATAAGAGAGTAAAATCCATAGGCTCACAACTCTGAGTTTCAGACACTGGTCCCTTTAGGATCATCTGTACCACACAAAACCACTTTTCTGCCAGCTGTTTCTCTTCTTATCCTCATTGCTGTTCAACTTGGCAAATCCTCTTCTTTTCCATTTTTGAACTGACATAGCATTTACAAGTTCTTTCAATCACACTGAAAGAGTATTTGAATAGTTTTATAATATTAATTTGGATAATAGTTCCCTTTAAGCCACAGAATTGTAAAGCCCAACAGTCTGGCTATAGCTGAGCACAGTAGTCAGGCTCAGTTCAGCCAGCTATTCACTTACCTGGATGCTGTGTTGTGCAGTCAAATCATAGTAAATAGAGCTTATAGCAAAAAGCTGAGGTTGGTTGTCTGGGCAAGGAAAACCAGCTTCAGCTCTTCACTTACCAGGTTTCTACATCCTCCGATTACATTTCAGCATCTCTTCTTATATAACAACCAAAAAATTCATAACATCTTTCCCCTTTCTGCTTTTCCTTCTCAAACTAAAGAGGACAGAAGAGGGCAACAGGCACTTCTGAGAGACTTCACCTTTCTTAAGCTCTAGAGGGCACCAAAGAATAATATCTGGAATTGAAGTTCTTAGCCATTTAAGTTCACCCTTTCCAAATAATCAAGAATCATGAGGATGCCTTCTGTCTTCTGACTGCTCCAGGTGTCTCTTCTTCACACACAGTTCCAATAGACTTGATTTTCATCCCTTGCTATTCCTTCAGCCTCCACTTGTCAGGCATTTTCCTCTTCAGTTTCAGCCTTAACCTCAGACCTCTATAACATATATTTTAGTGACTTAAATCAGAGCCTCTTGGCATTTATTGACTCACTTTCACTTCAAAGGCAACAAGAAGCCAAATTTCCACTAGGAAATTTGCAAACTTTATTTAATCCTCAGTCTTCAAATAGTTATGTGTTTTAATTGTGTGTGTGTGTCTTTTATTCTCTTAAGTCTTAAACTGTTACATGCCAATAAGCTGAGGCATCACTGTGCTCTGCAGCAATGTGTTCTCAACAAGGTCCACCATCTCATTTTATATACTACAAGTTGTATTTCTTCACCCTTTTACTTATCCAGTTTTTAATAAATAAAAGTTCTTTTTCTTCCCCCTTAAAGCATCAACTATTCACATACAAATAAGGCATCACCTTACATCTTTCACAGAGTAATTTAAGTCTTCATATTTTTTAAAGTTCATTTTCTGTTGCTCAAATCCCACCATGTTTCATTATATACTTTAGCAGTTTTTATTAGATAAAAGTTTTCCCTACTTTTTTCTGGCATCAAAATATTCATCTACATGAGAGACAATATTTTACAACCTTTGTCAGTGATTTTTAATCCTTTTTCTTCATATAAAAATACTTTATTCTATCCTTTCAGCACTAATCTGTATGAAAAGAAAAGTAAAGGGGATGTCACCTGTCACTGTATTTTCTCACTTCGTGACTTCATCAACTCATATGGTTTAACTATTACCTCTTTGCAAAATATCTAGTCCTGGTCTCCAAATTCCCAGATATCCAGTCCTAGTCTCTCTTCTGAACTTCAGTTCTGCAACTCCAGTTGCCTGTTGGAATTTCAAACTGGATGTCATGTAGACATATGAAACTTGTTAAAATGTCTAAAATACAGTTCATTATCTTTCCCCTCATACCTACCTATTTTCCAGACTTTCATGTTTCTGTCAGGAAACATCCTGTCATGGGGCAGCTAGGTGGATAGAGCATTGGCCCTGGATTCAGGAGGACCTGAATTCAAATCCAGCCTCAGACACATAACACTTACTAGCTGTGTGACTTTGGGCAAGTCACTTAACCCTCACCAAAACAAACAAACAAACAAATAAACAAAAAGAAACATCCTCTCAGTCTTTTAGCTCTTCACTCTCAAGTTATTTCACATATCCATTGGTCAGAGTTTGTCATTTCTACCTCAGTGACACCTCTCGAATCCATCCCCTTCTCTCTTCTCACACTGGTGCTCTGATGCTCATCACCCCACCTTGGACTGTTGGACTAGCCTCTTAATTGATGGCTATGCCTCAAGTCCTTCCCCATTTCAATCCATCCTCCACACGGCTGCCAAAGCAACTTTCCTAAAGTGTATATCTGACTATGGCACTCCTTTACCCAATAAATTACAGTGGCATTCTACCTCCTCTAGGATCAAATATAAACTCCTCTATCATTGAAAACCCTTTACAACTTGGCCCTGAGCTACTTTTCCAGACTTATTGCACATTGCTCTGTTTCATACACACTACAGTACAGCCAAGTTGGCCATCGACATCTCGTGCATAGCACTCCATCTTCCATCTCTGCCTTTTCACTGGCAGGTTCCCGTTCTTGGAATGCAATCCCTTCTCATCTTTCCCTTTTAGAATCCTTATTTTCTTTCATTAACTCACCTTCTTTGGGAACGCTTTCCTGATTGTTCCCCACTCAATTGTTACTACCTCCTCCTCTCCCCACCATTACCCTTTATTTATTTGGTATCTACATATCCAAGATGTCCCAAAACTCTTAGTTCACTCAAAGCTTTAACAGTTTTTTAATCATCCTGTATACATTTGTGCTCTCTCTTCTTTCTTCTTTTTCTTCTTCTTCTTCTTCTTCTTCTTCTTCTTCTTCTTCTTCTTCTTCTTCTTCTCCTCCTCCTCCTCCTCCTCCTCCTCCTCCTCCTTCTTCTTCTTCTTCTTCTTCTTCTTCTCCTTCTCCTTCTCCTTCTCCTTCTCCTTCTCCTCCTCCTCCTCCTCCTCCTCCTCCTCCTCTCCTCCTCTCCTCCTCCCTCCTCCTCCTCCTCCTCCTCCTCCTCCTCCTCCTCCTCCTCCTCCTCCTCCTCCTCCTCCTCCTCCTCCTTCTTCTTCTTCTTCTTCTTCTTCTTCTTCTTCTTCTTCTTCTTCTTCTTCTTCTTCTTCTTCTTCTCCTTCTCCTCCTTCTTCTTCTACTTCTCCTTCTATTTCTTCTCTTTCTCCTCCTCTTTCTTCTCTTTCTCCTCCTCCTTTCTCTTCTTCTTCTCCTTCTTCTTCTTCTCCTCCTTCTTCTCTTTCTCTTCCTCCTTCTCCTTTTCCTTCTCCTTCTTCTCCTCCTTCTCCTCCTCCTCCTCCTTTTTCTCCTCCTCCTGCTCCTTCTCCTCCTTCTTCTCTCTCTCCATCTCTGTCTCTGTCTCTCTCTGTCTCTGTTTCTGTCTCTCTCTGTCTCTCTCTCTCTCTCCTCCCACTAGTCTCATTGATACTTCTCAGTGTCCTTTATTAGATTATCATCCATGTACCACTCCCCCAGCTGTGGATATCCCTAAAGACTGTGTCCTGGACCCTCTCTTTTTCTCTATTTATAGTCTGTTGTGGTGATCTCAATGTTATCCCCAGTATTTTTCCTTTTGTTTATTATTCCAGCTCATCTGTGGCTTTGGATCAATGACACATGCAGTATCCTGAGACGAAATAAGGTAAAACCAAGTGTGTTTGCACGTTTATTTTGTACTTTATGACCTTGGTTTCATTATGTATAAGAAAGAGCATTGGGCTTGGAGTCATGAGAGGCTGGAGTTGAGATCCTGATTCAAACACCAACCAGCTGTATGACTGTGTGCAAGTTACTTTATCTTTCAAGAGCCTTTGTTTCGCCTTCTCCAAAATGGGGATAATAAAGCCTTCACTACTTATCTCACTGGTTTTGTTATGAGGATCAAACGAGGTGATGTCTGTAAAGCATTTGATAAGCCTTAATGTGCTAAATGTCATATATTATAGTTCTAATAATTATCATTATATTACCAAAAACAAAGAATGACATTTTCATCCATGGTCCTCCATTGGAGTCACTCTTTTTTTCTGAGTGGGAAGGAACACAAATTGCTAAATTTTTATTTTCATTAAGAAATAACCTGATAAATTAAGAACATTTCCCTATATCTGCACAGATCTGATTCTGCCTCATTCATTTGCTTAAATTCATGGTGACTTCAGATGGAACTTGGCTAATAAAGCATAATGAGGTCTTGAGATGGAGTTATTAAGGGGAGCAAAGTACTGAAGAACACTGTTAGCTACATGTAGTAGCCATATCTTTTGAAACACAAAATTTCTATCTCAGCTTCCAAAATTCACATTGTTTAATATTTCTGAAATGTCTATAAATAACGAAGATACTTGGTACAGCATGTGTGACGTCAAATACCTCTCAATACTGTTTCTCTTAACTTCTAACCATCTGTGTTCTTTATCTGTGACATAAACATTAATACACCCACACACACCCCCACACATATACACACACACACACACACACACACACACACACACACACACACACACACACACACACACACACACACACACACACACACGCTCTTTCCAAAGAATCAAGGCTTTTTTGGTACTCTATAACGTGCTGTGTACCAAAAGAATTAGGGAAAAAAGATTTCAATTGCATCTGAAATTATAAAATCATCATCATTATGAACAGATGGCTCTTTCTCACAATGAAATGTTTCCTGTTCTTAATTAAATATGATGAATATTTTTAGCAAAATAACAACTTTTTTCCCCTTAAGCCTGGTACTAGTAGAAAGAAGGAGAGACTGGAAGTCAAGCAACTTAGATTTACTTCTTGGCTTCAGCCCTTCCCAGTGCTGTGACCTTGGGGAATTGACTTAACAGAAACCTCTCCAAGCTTCTTTTCCTCACTTGTAAATTGAGAATATTGTTACCTCCGTGAATTATCATGAAGAAAGTGCTCTGTAAGCCATAAAACTTTATATAAATCCACATTGGTATTAGTATATACGTGGATTTTATCATGTGAGTTATGATCTAATTCTGTACTTTTGGTATAGCCTTAGAATATAAAGTTTCTTTCTAAAGATTTTTGACTTGGGGTTATTTTGATTTTGACTTCATTTTGTTAATCTCCTTCATTTTTTAAAAATTGTGAACTGAAAGGAAAAGGACATAGTTGAATGGTGCTGTTAAGCCCCTTAGTTTTCTGTAACATCTGTAGGATAGTAATGTCCATATAATAATGGCTGATGTTTATATCATCTTGGAACTCTCAGCCTGGTTCCCTCTTCCCTTGGGGCCCCTCCCCCTGTTAGGAGGGTAGAGAGCTCCTTCTAGAGCCTCTGTTTAAGGAGGGTGCCAAACCAGCCATCTCATCATTTCCCACCCAGCTCCATTCCTTTGGACTCTTCCATTATTACTCCTTCCCTCCTCCTCCCACCCCACCTCTCTTTACAGCTTCCTTTTGAGCGTTGTCTTCCTCTGTTAGGATGTAAGCTCCTCAGGGGAAAGGTCAGGAACTGTCCTTTGCCTTATTTGTATGCCCAGCACTTAGTAGCACTGTCTTACCCAAGCCTCACAACCAACGAGTTAGATAAACACTGTAGGCATTATTATAATATTCATTTTATAAATGAGGAATCTGTGGCTCAGAGACATCAAGTGACTTATCCATTTTCACATGACTGATAAGTGTCAGAAAGGTGATCTGAATCTGTGCCTTCCTGGTTCGAAGTCTAACACTTTATCCACTACATCACACTGCCTCTCACACAGGAAGATAGCATATTTCTGGTGGCATTATAACTATGACCTAATTTTTTTTTACCTTTATGGGAAAATGTTTGAATTTGTTTGACTTGGTAGTGTACCAAAAGTTTTAGTGCAGTTTAAAGCCATTAAAGGTTGATCAGAGGATATCAAAAGAATCAATGAAAAAAAATGTGAAAGAAGGTGATTTAGCCATACCAGATTTCAAGCTGTATTATGAAAGGGTAATTATCAAAACAGTCTGGTGCTGGCTAAAAAATAGAGTGGTGGATCAGTGAAATAGATGAGGTACAAATTCCATTATAGTAAATGACCATAGTAATCTAGTATATGATAAAACCAGAGACCCACGTTTTTGGAACAAAAATTCATTATTTGACAAAACCTGCTGGGAAAACTGGAAAACAGTATGGCAGAAACTAGGTATCAACCAACATCTCACACAGTATACCAGGATAAGGTCAAAATGGGTACATTATTTATACCTAAAGGGTGATACCACAAGCAAATTAAGAGAGCATGGAATAGTTTATCTGTCAGATTTATGGATAAGGGAAGAATTTAAGAACAAAGAAGATATAGAAAGCATTACAAAATGCAAAATAGATAATTTTGATTACATGAAACTAAAAAGTTTTTGCACAAGCAAAACCAATGCAACCAAAATTATAAGGAAAGCAGAAAACTGGGGGGAAATCTTTGCAGCGAGTATCTCTGATAAATCTCAAATTTATAGAGAACTGAATCAAATTTATAAGAATACAAGTCATTTCCCAATTGATAAATGATCAAAAGATATGAAAGTCAATTTTCAGACAAAGAAATCAAGGCTATCTATAGTTGGATGAAAAAAATGCTCTAAATCACTATTGATTAGAGAAATGCAAATTAAAACAGCTCTGAGATACCACCTCACACCTGCCAGATTGGCTCATGTGACAAAAAAGGAAAATGCTGGATGTTGGAGATGTGGGAAAACTGGGACATATGCACTGTTGGTGGAGTTGTGAACAGATCCAGCCATTCTGCAGAGCAATTTGGAACTGTGCCCAAAGAGCTGTAAAACTCTGCATACCCTTTAATCCAGCAATATCACTGCTAAGTCTGTATCCCAGTGACATCCAAAATAGGGGAAGAGGACCTATTTGTACAAAAATATTTATAGCAGCTCTTTTTGTGGTGGCTAAGAATTGGAAATTAAAGGGATGCTCATTGGTTGGGAAATGGCTAAACAAACTGTGGTACATGATTGTAATGGAATTGGATTGTACTATAAGAAATGACAAGCAGGATGATTTCAGAAAAACCTAGAAAGACTTACATGAACTGATGCATAGTGAAATGAATAGAACCAGGAGAATATTGTACCCAGTCACAGCAATATTGTTCAATAAAGAATTGTAAATGACTATTCTCAGCAATACAATGATCCAAGACAATCCCAAAGGACTAATGATGAAGTATAGTATCTACCTCCAGAGAAAACATTGATATTGTTTGAATACAGACTGAAGCATGCTATGTTTCACTTTCTTTCATTTTTTCTTTTATCTGAGTCTTCTTGTACAAAATGTCTAATATGGAAATATTTCACATAATTGCACCTATATCTGATTACTTACTGTCTCACAGAGTGAGGTAGGGAGAGAGAGAATTTGGAACTCAAAACTTTAAATAAAAATGTTAAAATGGAAAAGATCAATATCAAAATGTGAATTCCACTGTTTAAAGGAACATCTCCTGGTATCAACAGACCTGAAGTCCTGAAGAGTCCCTGTGTTACTCAACAGAGAAGGCCCATTACTTTTTTAAAAAATCCACCATTTACTATTTATATAGTTAAAGAATAGACAGTTTGTACTGTGGGAAGTTCTCCGCTTTATTCCTCAATGTTTTCTACACTGAATTAAAATAAATTTTTAAAATAAATTCCTGTAGTAGTACAATACTGTGCATTTATAGGTGCCCTCTGTGTGTGTGTGTATTGATGCTGACAAAAATTGCTCTGTTTCATTTCTGATGTTTGCTCAGAAGATATTAGTGTTCTTAAGATTTTGGATAACATTTCTTTTACCTTCTGGGTTTAAATTGGCAGGAGTCATCTGGTGATAATTTCATCCATACACACATGACAACATTGAGTGCTAGCCAAGCTTGTGAAGACATTTTATTATGGACCCCAGAAGAAAAGATGGTACCTGAAGACTCGTGTTATCCACAGGGACATGTTGTGTGTGGGGAAGCAGATCCATGTAAAGTGGAAGATGCTGCCATGCTGTCCTTAGTCAGTGAGACTGAGGAAGATAACTTTAGGCAGATTCCCACAGAAGATGAATATGTGGACCGAGCTCCTCATGGTTCTGATTGTTTATTGTTATTGAGTAGGCCTGGAAGCAAGCCAGCTTCCCCTTTCTCAGAGCCCTTGGAGGTTGGGGAGAATGACAGCTTAAGCCAGTGTTTCACTGGTACCGAAAGCACAATGGATTCAGAGAGCTCCTATTGCACTAAATCTTCATGCAGGACTGACTCCATCCATATTTCCTCTGAACTGTACTTGCAGAAATCTTTCCACTGCAATGACAGTAACCTTGCTAAGGAGGTGGAGAGCAGTGACAGGAATCATTGGGCAGCCGACCTTGACTTAACAAATGGCTGTAGGGGCTGCAGGGAGCCTCTCAGGAAATACACTGAAGCTTCTGAGAAGAAAGCTGACCACATCATAGCATCCTTTGAGAATGGACCTTTCCCACAGTGCGCCTGTGGCTCAGACCTTCCTCCAGAAAGTCAGAGTAGCCTGGCAAGTGATGCTGAGGGTGAAGACTTGTCCTTTGATGGGACTGAAGTGAAGTTCCCTAACACAAAAAGAGGCAGTTCTGGTTCAGGTGGTACCTCCAGCGACTCGCCTCTTGCATCTGGTAAGTGGCCTGAGTTCCACTTCTTTACATGAAAGGACTATAGTCTTTTTCAAGGTCACATATACTTTAGGGAAGAAGGGAGATAAAGTAGGAGAAATTAAATTTTTATTGACCCCCAGAAAGTGGTATTTGACAGTTCTTCACTAGTTTCCCCTTCTCTTTCACCATGTGTACATCTTCCCTCTGCCCTCATGATCATTTCTGTGCTCACATATACACATCTATTTCTCTATATACTTTTGTGTTCCTGGTAGCCTGAGGCAAAATCAGGACGCAAGCAGAGTTCACTGCTCCCAAACTCCCCATTCTGTGGCATCCCTACTGGTGCCCTCAGGCACCTGGTACCCTTCTGACCCTTTGTTCCATTCTTCAATCAAAAGCTCTTCTCAGAGCCTTCTTTCATACTCTCATCTAAACAATTGATAAAAGCTAAAATGGAAGGCTATTTACATTTTAACAATATGACATGTACTTTTCAAGAGGAATCTCTGTTGGTAGAATTTTAAGCTGGCAGAAGATGGGGCTGGAAGAGACCCAGGTCTTTCTCCTGCCCCTAAAGTCACACTCTGTGTTTTTCACCCACTTGGCCTACCCCTGGAAATACAGCTATATTTGCATGAATTGCAATACCCTAGGATTCTTCCTAATGAAAACCCATGTTTCATTTCTGCCTGCCTTATCTGTTCATTCCCTTTTCATGCAGAAGTCAGTACCTCTCCCCCTACCTCTCAGAGTCAGTTTGGTCCATAATGGATTTGGAATCAAATGACCTGGTTTTAAATCCCAGTTCTACCATTTAGTAACTCTGGTGACTTTGGACAAGTCACTCAACTCCCCTAGATCTGAGTTTCTTCATCCATAAACTGAGGGAGGAAGGTTGGATTTAAGAAACTTTACAACTTCAAATCTGTGATAGTATAGTATAACGTAGTAAGCCTGTTCAGTCCTGGAACTGCTTTGAAATATTGGTGCTAATTGGCTGGTGTGTTTTTATGACATTCAAATGAATTGTTTCGGGCTCTGAGAGTTGCCTTAATATCCTTTTGGGAATAGAGATGACAAAGAAGAATCAGCTAGCATGGGTTATTTCCTGAGGGCCTGCTTTTACTGTGATGGGGTGTAAGTATATTTGAAAAGTTTTTTACTTGTGTTTTTTAAGCAAAGCACGGACATAAAAGGAGGAGAAAGGTAAAAGTTTGGGATCAGCTGTTATTTTTTAAAATGCTTTTTAGTGGGATGGACATCAAATTAATGACACCCTTTCCTAATTCTCCATTTGTCATCGCATCCTCAATCCACTTAACTGTATAGCCTACATGTACTTATCTGTTACCATGTTATATTCCCTCACTAAAGTGTAAGCTCCATGAGGTCTTACATTTGTATTTGTATCCCCGGGGCCCAACACAGTACCTGGCACACAGTAGGTGTTTAATAAGAGCTTACTGATAGATGATTAACGTTGAGGATCTCTAAATATGGGTATCTCTGAATAGTCTGAGCATGGCCCTAATATCAAGAGAATGATTTTTAATTTCTAACCTTTCAGTAAGGAAATTTGGAGAAAAGTTCAGGGAAAAGGACTAAGCTTAGATTTCCAGGGTTAGTACTTTTTTTTTAAAAAACCTTAAATCATCCAAATTATCCTCTATAATTCTTCAAGATTCTAAGAACATAAACAAAACTGTAATTAATTAAATGTTTATTGTCTATCATATAATTTTATGTGGTATTAATTTCGTAATACATATTTTAGGTCAAATTTATTATGCAATAAAATATCTTTAATTTTTTTTTCACATCCAGGGCCCATTTACTTATTTTGTGCACATACCCATTTTAATAGGACTTGGATCATAATTTTACTACTATGAATGATTATAGAGCCTTATAATTGTATTTTTACTTTTTTTTTCTTTTTACGTTATTGGCTATATCTATGATTTATTTGATGAGGACTGTTTGGCCAGGTACACAAATCACAATTGCAGTGTTGTCCTATAGGAAAATTTATTTCTGCTTTACAAAGGTCCACTTTATGATATAGTTTCCCAGGAAAGCATTGAATATGGTAGAAAGTTCTAGGTGTGGTTGGAGAAGAGGAAAAGATAAGAAAAAGGAAAGAAAAAAAAACGTAGCATTTATTAAAGTCCTAATGTGTGTTAGTCATGATGCTTTACAAATATTATCTCATTTAATACTCCAAACAATCCTGGGAGGTAGGGGCTATTATTATCTCCATTTTATAGTTGAGGAAACTGAGGCAGAAAGAGGTTAAGGGACTTGCCCAGAGTCACATATCTAGTAAGTGTCTGAGGCTGGATTTGAACTTGGTCCTTCCTGACTCCAGGACTCGACTTGCCCCCTAGTTGTTTCTAGGTGGAAGGGAGAGTAAAACAAGTAGGAACTTCATTTATTGCTTCTTAATCCCTTATTATTTACTTGTTTGTTTATTTACATTTCAAGTTCATTCAGGGTGGAAAAATAAAATTTTATTTTGAAGCTCCTTGATGCTAGCATGCAAAACACTGGAAATGTTTTTGAATAATAATAATACTGTTAGGTTGTCTCAACAGAGTCAGACCAACCTAACCTGTTAACTAAAAGCTTTGTGTTCAATTCAATTCAACAAGTATTTTTGAATATTACATTCAAGGCACTGGGCATGCAAAGGCAGAATGAAAAATAGTCCCCTGTCCTCAAGAAGCTTACATTCTTTGGAGACGCAAGCACACAGAGAAGTAAATATAAAATTATTTGTAGTTTGTGGTGAAATTACACAGTTACAATGAAGGATAATCCCCAATTTCAGTTTAACTGAGATCCAAGAATATGATATCCAAGGAGACATGATGGTCTTTACATATGTTGTTATATTTGTCTTTATTACGTCTTATTAAATTATACATTTAGAACTGGAAAGGGGCTTAAAGGTCATTAAGTCCAACCCTCTCATTTTACTAATGAAGAAAGGGGCCAGACAGGTTGTGAACTTAGCAGGGTCACAGAGTTAGTAAGTCTACTCATGAGGCAGTGTTTGAACCTAGATCTTCCTCCCTCCTAGTCCAAAGCTCTCTCTTCACTACATCATTCTGCCTCTGTAGAAACTGTCCTCAAAATATCAACCCCCAAATTGAGGGGGATTTTCTCATTTATTTTTTAAATGTGGCCAAAAACCTACTTTTACATATTTTAAGAAAACTTCTCTTGCTAAAAATCTCATATCTTTGTTTTTTGGCAAGGTTACTTTTTTTCCTCCTAAGTTCTAATATTCTTTCTGTTAGGAGAGATTAGCAAAAACTCCCTCCTATTAAATAATAGATCAGTGGAGCCAAGAGACCTGAACTTAATTCCTGCTTTTACTAGTGACTAATAGCATTACCTGAAGCAAATCAATATTTCACTCTGTGAAATGGACAAGGGGAAGTTTGCAATGAAGTTATAATGGGTTGAGATTCATGGAATAAAAAAATGCTAGGTAAAGGGAAAGTGGAATTTGCTTTGAAATTGCGAATTTAAAAACAAAATCAGCTTTCTCAGAATCACAGAATCTTAGAGTTGGAAGAAAGTAGAGGCCATGTAGTGAAGCCTGGATCTAAACAAGCACCTAATCTGCAACATTGCCAGCATGTGGTCATCTAGCCTGTGACTGAAGACCTCTGCTAAGGGGAAACCTAGTGCTTCCCCAGGCAGCTCTTTCCACTTTGGGGCAACTCTAATATTTAGGAAGTTTATCTTTACCTAAGCCTAAATCTTCTCTGTTAACTTCTGCCATTGCTCTTCGATTGCCACGGGGGGCTGAGCTGGCAGCCAGGTGACACAGTGGATAGAACACCGGGCTTAGAGTTAGGAACTCATCTTGCTGAGTTCAAATCTGGCCTCAGACACTTACTAGTTGTGTGACCCTGGGCAAGTCATTTGGCTATTTTCCTCAGTTCCTCTTCTGTAAAATGCGCTGGAGAAGGAAATGGCAAATTCCTTTAGTATCTTTGCCAAGAAAACCCTAAATGGGGTTCTAGAGTCAGATGTGACTGAAAAATGACTCAACAACAACAGGGACTGAGCAGAACAAATCTAGGCTGTCTCCTATGTGATAGCCTATCAGATACTTGAAGATAATTATCAAGTGTTCCCTCAAGATCTCAGGTTTCTTCATCTAATTATCACCAGCCTTCCAACTTGGCATTAATGACAACTCATTGGGTCTGGCCATAGAGCCAATTCCAAGTCCATATAACTTGACTATCTTCTTGCCTAAAGGCCAGCAAGCTACAGCCTTTAGGCCACATCCAGCCCCCCACCTCTTTTTGTATGGCCTTTGAGCTAAGAATAGGGTTTTTTTTAATATTTTTAAATTTAAAATGTTTTATTTGCAGCTAGCCCATACTTCTCTATCCTTTCCCCAAGAATAACATGAGACTGTCAAATTTGTTTGCTGAAGTTCTAGCTAAAGCATAGCATTCACCTGAATGCTCTGTTGTTCAGTTGTTTTTCAGCTGTGCTCTACTCTTCATGACCCCATTTGGGGTTTTCTTGGCAAAGATGCTGGATGGTTTGCCGTTTCCTTCTCCAGCGCATTTTACGGATGAGGAAACTGAGGCAAACAGGGTTAAGTGACTTGCCCAGGGTCACACAGCTATGAAGTGTCTGAAGCCAGATTTGATCTCACAAAGATGGGTCTTCCTCATTCCAGACCAGGTGCTCTATCCACTGCACCACCCTTGACCCATTCTTTTTTTTTTAAATTTTTAGGCAATTGGGGTTAAGTGATTTGCCCAGGGTCACACAGTTAGTAAATGTCAAGTGTTTGGTCTGGGGTCAGATTTGAACTCAGGTCCTCCTGACTTCAGGGCTGGTGCTCTATCCACTGTGCCACCTAGCTGGCCCCAGGGGCCTGTTTTTCATTTTGTCTTTATGTTCCCCACCCCTGTTTGCCTTGAATACAGCAGGTACTTAATTGTTGAATGACCGATTACATTTCTGGTGGTGAGCTTCCAAACTAAGATTAAAAAAATAAAAGGGGCAGGGGAGCAGTACCCAAATAAAACAGCAACATTTTTAATTTCCAGAAGTTTTACAGTGTTCTTTCTGCAGTCTCCTAGTGCTTGACACCACAAAACGGCTCTGGATAGATAGTGCGGATGAGGAAGCTGACACGTTGGCTAAATTAATTTTTGCCTGACAAGGAGAAAGGACAGAGCAGATGGATTTTTGAGGCAGTACAGCTCTTTCCACAATTACTTCTACATGAATAGACCCAGTTTTTTTTTCTGGCTGTGCAAAACACCATTTTCGCATGACTACTTTCTTTAATTGTTATAATTCATGTTCTATAAAATGTGATGAAAGGCGAGAGAGTTAGGAGGGGAGGGGAGCAATAATAGAGCTTGATCTCATCGGATTTCCTGAAAGCCAATTTTGGGACTCTCAGTGAGGTGGCCTACATTTGGACTCCTGACCAGTCAGTGGAGACCTAGAGTAAATGTTTTTCTGGCAGTTATTTTTAGATATTTTTTATCAAACAAGTGTGTTTCTTTTATGGCAGCCATCTCTTTTGGAATGAATCCTTTAAATAGCTCCTGCTGTTAAAGTTAATTCTCGTTTTCTCCTTTTTCTTTTATTTAACTCTCAAATGAAGGATTCCTGTTTCAAAACTAGATAATGATCTTTTACAGTATTTTAAGGAGCTTTCCACCAAGGCAGGGTGCAACCCCTTTTATAACTTAGAAGGTGGTCTTTGAGAGTTTCTATGACTAGTAAATTAATTAACCTGTGGTCATTTGGTGATGAACTTAACTCAGCTTAGCCAGGCTGATCCTTGGACAGGAGGGGATGCACCCCTGGGCTTGTGCTCCATGTTTTTCAGCTTGGTAATCCACCAGAGCCGGTGTATTGCCTTCAGGAACCCAAGATCACCTCCATGCCAAATCAAACATCAGGGTAAGAATTTAGGGGATGAGATGATGATGATGATGATAATAATATATTGGATGACCATGAAATTATAATTATTTGAAGGACTGTGAATCATTTTCTCTTAGAAAATAGAACAAAAAAATTTTACAGGAAAATTGGACACTTAATAACGTGTGCCCTGAAAATTGTTATTGAATCAGACCTCAAAATATTGTCATTGTTAATGTGAACAACAATCCCTTTTGGTGATTTTCCCTAAAGTAAAATTTGGGAGAATTCACACAGTGCCATCTAGTGAGTAGTTAGTTATTCAGTGACCCTGGTGTCTATATAAGGCCAATAAATCACTTGCCCTCAAGTATGGCTATTTGTAAGTCAAGAGGAATTTTCTGTGTCAAATGTGTAGACTTTACTCGTAGGTCCTATGATTCCATTGGGGTGAATAATCATTCCACCTATCCAGATTGCAGCCCCTCTATCAGCAAATAGTCTATGTGAGCTGCTGAATTTGGGGGAAAAAAATCATTTTATGGTGATAAGCTTTTCCCAATTGAAGTAACCCTGGCTTCAGATGTCACACACACACACACACACACACACACACACACACACACAGCCTCATACTACAAACTGGATTCTCCAGTTTGATAGGTCTTGCAAAGGCTGGAACTTTCAAATTCCTCTATAACACAGAAGGTCATTTCCATACCCCAGTGAGGCATCAGAGTCAGATGTTAGTGGAAGAACAAGTGTTCATGGCTCCTGAGTAACATTACCAGACCGTAGTGCAGTATAACCAACACCGAACTGGAGGTGAGAAGACCCAAACCAAGGGATCCAAATCTCTACTCTGCCTTTCTTTGAACCAGGTGACCTCTGAAAACTCTTCCAATAAAAAATCTGTTATAAGGGTTTGCAAAGCATGGAAAAGGCATCGTCCTGGATGTCAGTAAGGGTTTATTATATAACTCCAATAAAGACTGTTAAACTTATTTGCCTTGTTTTCTTCTCTAATATAGTAACCTATAATTGTCACCCACTGTTGCCTACTAGTTAGTTGACAATCTGTTTCTTAGCTTCCCTGTTTCAGATTGATGAAAAACTGATAAATTTTGTTGATGGATGTCAAGGCTTCTATATACCCTAATGAATATAGTATCTAGATAGTATTTCAGAATATATGAAAAATTGTTTTGCATACCTACTGCCAATTTTTTCTTTGCCCTACTGTTTCCTGCACTAAAATGGCTCGTTTGTTACAGTTTGGCCTAGCGCTAATTAATCAGTGTAGTAATATGACTGGGAATGGGATCATCTTTGCCTTAACACACACACACACACACAGAATTCTTCTCAATTAACCAAAATGTATTAAAGATTTCTATAAAGAGGAAAATTATATGAATTTGTATGTTAAATAGGAAGTGAGATTCTCTTTTTAAGTTCATGGTAGAACCTTAAGCTAGCCTAAATAATGTGTGTGTGTGTGTATGTGTATTTTGAGCACCTTAAAATAAGGTCAACATGAGAAGGTGATAGTAGTACTGTTTTCCATAGCTCTGACAAATTATTTCACATACTTTATGCAATACAGTAAGTTAGTTGGATACAAAACATTTTTGAAAAGGGCATAAGCTCTGCCATATATTGAATAAATAAAACTAAGACTTCCATAGATCTTAGAATCATAGAGTTAGAAGCAGAAGGGATCTTAAAGGTTATCTAATCCAACTCTCTCATTTTTTAGATAGGAAACCGAGGCTCAGAGAAATTGTTACTTTTCATATGAGAAATAGTCTATGGTCTACTTCTAGTAGAAAATGGACTTTGTTGATTTTAGAATCATGGATTAGCAGAGTGTAGGGTATTTAATTTAACCCCTATCCAAGTCAGGAATCTCGCTTCCAACATTTCCAATAAATGACCCTTCTAGTGTCCCCAGTTAAAAGATCCTTACTGGTAAATAACTCTTGACGTTGCAAGGCTGCTTTTTCTATGTATTGACTATTAAAATCCCTTCTCCACATGACCGCCTTTCAGACTTCCTTATCCTCTCTAAGACTTTTCTTCTACAAGGTAACATTCCCAGTTCCTTAGCTTCTCTGTGATATGGCTCTAAATTTAAAAAAAAATTCATGCACAGGCAGTTCTAAATTATCTCCAGTTCCTTTTAAATCTGTTCATTTAAAACGTTAAGTCCCTATAAAGACCCTGTCCCTCATTTTAAATTCCAAATTTCCACATAAATGAAAATCAAATATGGCTTTATGCCACTCTTCCTTTTATACCAAACTTCACAGGAGACTTAAAACAATGCTCTATTTCTAGCCCTTGTGCTACAAGGTAATAGTAATTCAATTCAACAAGTGTTTATTAAATGCTTACTATATGCTAGCTACTATGTTAGAGGTTGGGGATAAAGAGACAAAGATAAAAACAATACCTGCCCTCAAAGAACTTTGATTCTACTGGATAAAAACACCGTCCATGTAGATAAATAAATGCAAAGTAATTTCAGGTGTGGAAGTGCTAGTGACCTTACTTTAGAACTATCAATTTGGCATCTATGTGGATGACAGATTGGAAAGGGGGAAAAATGGAGATTGGGAGACCAATCCAGGCAAGAGAGGATTAGGACCTAAAAGAGGGCAGTGACCATGTGAATGGAGAGAAGGAGATGGGGACAAGACACACATATCTTACGAGTGTTATTTACCTTTCGTTTGCTATATTTTTAAAGATATGTCTGTACTTAAATAGGTGTTCATAAATCTTAAGAGTAGGAAGGGGCCTTAGAGGTCATCTAATCCAATCTTTTTACTTACTTTGCACACAATAATTTGGATCAATTCAAATGTGCCAAAGTAAAATATTTTAGATTCCTAGAATCTTCTGTAACTGTTGTGAAAGCATATTCATTCATTTCTGCTGGATACTGAGTTATCCTGCTGGCTCCTGTGTATTCAGACTCTTTGCAATCCCTTCTTCCAGCATCGCAAACCATGATCCCTTCCTGGACATGACATGATGTGGTCATACTCAGAGTCACAGAAAGGTCTGAACATATAAGTTGTAAGAGAAAAGGAATAACCACTATCTTTCCCCCAGTCTTACAACCCTTTTTATTTTATTCCCTTCTCTGTTCTTTTTTTTTTTAATCCTTCCCAGTCCAACCCCACAGACCCTTACTGGATGCCTGCTATGTGTGAGGGATGATGCCAGGTGCTGGGATGTAAAGACAAAAACAAAAGTCTGTGTCCTCAAGGAGGTTGTATAACAATTGAATGTAAGCTCCTTGAGGGCAAAGACTTTTGTGTTTGTGTTTATATTCCAGCACCTGGCACAGTGCCTGAAACATAGTAAGTACTTAATAAATGCTTGTGGAATGGAAAAATTATTTCACCAGGGATTAGTTGTCAAAGGATTGGAGCACAGCTATTGAATGACCACACTTTCTTCTTTTATGGCTTCTGAGTCTTCTATGCCCCTGTGACTGAATTGATCATCTGGCTTTTTTCTCTTGGGTCAAAAATAAGTAATCATGTGGGGACACTCCCTAGTACCTCCTGGATTTATTCACTTAGAGCATTTTGCATTCCCAGAGGTGGTTAGAGGAAAGAACTTATATCCCCTAAGTTTGCCTCTGGCTTTCAAGACCTCATTGGCAAACAGACATATTTCTTTGCTTCCTCCCTTCAGCCAGTCCCATTAAGATGACAAATTCAGTTCTTAGATAGGAAATATTTGGCGTTAATTAAGGGGCTTGATAGGAAGCATCCATCATGAGATTGCCTCTGCAGCCTGCCAGAGGAATGGCAAGCCACCGCCACAAGATTCAGCTTGGAAATATTCCCCTCACAAGACAGGATTCTCACTGAGAAAATATTAATCATGTCTATGCCTGTTTTTTTTCTTCCTCTCCATCCTAGGAAATGTGACTGGAAACAGTAACTCTACATTTATTTCAAGTGGGCAAGTAATGAATTTCAAGGGAGATATCATTGTAGTCTACGTTAGTCAAAACTCCCAGGAGGGCCCCACCATCCCAGGAACTGTGGGGGAAAATGTTGGCAGCCCAGTGCAAGAGGAGAACACAAACCGCTGTGACACTTTTGCAGGGAATGATCTCAATTTCAAAGAGAAATGTGCTGAGAGCTCCCTGGGGAACTCTTCTGAGGATAAAGCGCAGAACTGCTTGAGAGAACATACTGGAAGATCAGAGCCAAGGATTCAAGAGGAAACCCAACATGGCCCTGATAAAGAGACCGACCAGAGCACAGCCTCTCAACCTGTGCAGGAGGAAGGAAGACCCAAATCCCGTTCCCTGAAAGCTTGGCAGTGATGGGAAGTTAATACTGCTTCTGTCTCTTCCCAAAGGGTGTCAGAACTCAAAGAGCACCAGTCCAGGAGTCAGGAGACTGGGGATCTAGTCTCAGATCTGCTACCAGGTCATGTGACCTCAGACAGGAATTTCCCTTTTCTGGGTCTCATTTGCTTCATCTGTAGAGTGAGGGGTTCATACTAGATGCCTTGTAAAGTCTCATTCCTCTCCAAAGGTTCAGTGATTCTAGTCATTCTCCCTGTTTATTCTCAGTCATGCACATGCCCATACATATAATGTAATAAGCATAGATCAGGGGTGTCAAATTCAAATCTACAAATGGACCAGTTTTCATCTTTGGAAAATACTAGTGCATGGCACAGATGATAAATCTCAAGTAGGGTCAAAATTAGGAGTCTGGGGGATGGACAATAGGTGGGAGTTGATCCTTCTGTGACCCACCTGTTTATGGGTCATCACCTGTAAATCCTTCTATAATTTGATAGTTTGCTGTTTGGCTCATTACTAATCTGTATCCTCTGTGTCCTTTTGATCTTTTCCCTTTTATTATGATATCTGTGGCACTCTTTCTACCTTGCTCTTCACAGATAGGGTTAATTTTGAAAGCCCTATTTTTGTATTTCTGGTAACTGTACCTGTGCCTATTGAATTTACAGTTCCCGTGATGGTTAATGCCATCAGCACATGCTGCTCCTTCATTCACATTTGTCCCCATGCTCGGCTGCCTGTATTTCCCTTTTGTTGTCTTACCTGTCATTTCTCCTGTTGTATCCCTTTGATTCCATCTTGGTGACCACGTGGCCTTCTTCTGGGTGTACATTTGTACACTTTCTGTCTCAACTATTCTCGATGTTTTTCGCTTTTTTATTGACCACTTCTCAACAATTCTAAGTGGTGCCTTCTTCCTGCTTTAATTTTCTCTCTTTTGTATAGACAAGACATCTTCATGTTTTGGAAATAGCCTTTTGAGGGGTCTGTCTTGGAAGGCAGAGTGGTTTAGTAGAAAAATCACTTTCTGTAAAATTAGCGGGCCTAGGTTCAAATCCCCACTTGTGTGAGCCTGGGCAAGCTACTTAACCTTCATGGCCTCAGTTTCTTAATCTGTAAAACATAAGGGTTAGTAAATGCCTTCTGAGATCCATTAAAGCTCTGGATCTATGATCTTGTGTGTCTTGTCAGTCATAAATTCTTTGGGACCAGAAATATTAAAAAAAAAAAAAAGCTTTAGGAAAACACTGGAAAATTTGAGAACAAAAATTTTCCCCATGTGGACTTTTTCAGTTTTTCCTTTTTTTTTTAAGCAGGAGATAACACAATTTTTTCCTCTGAAACGTTCTGCTCTTCCTCACTCTAAGCCAAGCTTTCCTATCTCTCAATAGAACTAAATATAGGCATTCTAAAATATAATTGAATTGTTGAGTGCCATTTGACACTCTTGTTCTAGATGTTTTTGTTTGTTTTGTTTTATTTTTTAGCAACTAAATGGCAGGGAAAAAAATCCAAGTCACCATGAATTATGGCCCCTAAATGTCTTTTTGGAAAGACACTCAGGGGCCATAAAATGATGAAGATGGGCTAAATGATCTCTTTAAACTTCCTTGTAGCTCTAATACTCTAGGATGCCATGATCCTAGAGTTCTGAGCTAACCAGGTTATTTTTACTGTCACTTTCATTCAATTAGTGTGAACTATAACTCTGTGCCTCTATTTTCTAACTTAAAGGGAGAGACAGAGACATGTATAACACAGTGTCCAGAAAGTTAGCCCTCTAAGGCAGAAAGACTTGAGTTCAAATCCTGCTTCTGACACATTACTGGCTGTGAGATTCTGGGCAAGTCCTTTAACTTCTTAGTGCCCCTGGGAGCTCTCTAAGACCAAAGTTGCAGAGCAACTATTGATCTACATTGGTAGAGGGAATTTCCCCACTGGGAGTTCCCTACACCATTGAAACCACAACTTTCCCCTTCCCTACACCCCTTGGAACCACAAGACCCCCCCCTCCAAAAAAAATGGGTATAATGATACCTGTCAAATTTTTTTTCTACGTAGAACTATCATGAGAATGAGAGGAAAATGTTGGGAAAGTTCTTTGAGATCCTTAATGGAAGGTGCTATAAAATATAGGAGGGAAAAAAGAGGTAGGATTTTCCTTCTTGACTCCTGTTTGTTTTTCATGTTATTGCTAAAAATAAATAAGAAATTAGAAATCAATCATTTGGGAAAGCTAAGTCTATACCTGACACCACTGTATACCACAGAGATGTATACTACTGATGTAAGCAGAATGAGAATAGAAATTGGTGGAAGGTTGTTAACTTAATATTAAACTGATATTTGACCTAAAATGTTGCTCTTTGATAGCTTGGTGAAATGTGAATCTTTACAAGATCATTTCCTAATTTTTTCACGTATAGCATCTCTCTTCCTATTTCTATGATCCTCAGTGGTTTGCTCTTGGTCCTCTCGCCAGAAAAGCTAGATAGAAGACGCTGCTGCGGGAACACCATCACCTCATCTATTTAGTTTACTCCTTTCTTGACTTTACCAGATAACTCCTCAAAGTTCATCCTATGAAATGCTAGAAGGGAAGAAGTTTCTTCTCCACACTTACCTTTGATACCAGGAAATGCAAGATTTTGTGTTCGTTTTTAATCCAAGGGGAAGGTATAAACCGGCCAGATTTCAGGTTCAGAGTAACCCTTCCCCTACTTCACCAGCACACACCTCCCTTGTGCTTTTGCAAAATGAATTCTATGCTAATGCTCCTACAATACATCATTTCATAAAAACAATTATAAAATGAGTTCCTGCCCCCTAACATCCAGAAGGGGGCGCTGTCCAGCCTGTGGTCAGAAGCTGAGAAAGCTGGAGGAAGCTGATAAAGGGGACCAATAATTTATAGACTGGAATCTTAAGGGTTCGGAAGGCTCTTAGAGGGGGAAAATTTCCAGGTCCTCCTGAGTTAGTATGTGGTAGTGTCCCTAACCAATTTTGTTGGAAGCATTGTGAATTCCTGGAACTTAAGTGAAATTATTTATGTAAACATAAAATTTCATTCTAAAGCCAAGTACAAATAATGTTTAGAAATACAAATGATGCTTGGATTCCTTGTGTTCCAAGAGGTTGCAGGACTGCTTGCTGGAGCTTAATCCACTGGGCATGATACCAAAGGGGATGGCTTGAAAAGTCCTTCCCAAGTCTAGAATTCTACAATCTATAATTACTGATCTCTTCCATTTGGACAGATAATCAAAAATTGCCTGTATTTATATAAAATCTAGAAGACTGATAGAATTGTTTTATACTTGGGCAGAGTGAGTGAAGGGGTTTGTCTCTTTTTACAGGAATGGGTTAGAAATTTAGTATTTACCAGATGACTAATTCAGCAAATTAATTTGTTGGCATTTACAATGTTAGGAGAGAGTAATAGCCTTCAACAAATTAATTTGGCCTCAAGAAAGAAATATGATTGTTTTGAGGGGGTTTTTTTGCTACATGAGAAGTTATGATACAATAAGAGACTAAATGCATGATTTCATTCATATGGGGAAATCTCAAATGGGGGGACTTTCTCTATCAATGTAGGTTAGCATCTTTAGAACCTTTTGTGCAAGCTAGGGTCTAAGAGAGTTTCCTACACTGTTGAGAGATTAAGGGACTTGTCCAGTGTCACAAAACTAGTGTGTATCAGAGGTGGGCTTGAAACCTCAATCTTTCTGCCTCTGAGGCGGGCTCTCTGTCCATTACACCATACCTCATCTGCTTAATGTGAAGAAACTCTATACTTAGAATGGATATAATCATGGAATGTTGTCCTAAATTCCAGGGGGAGTGGGAAGGGGAAGGAAAAAAAGTGCAAATAAATCATTGAACAAATTTGGTTTAATTGGCATGGACATTCTATTTTGGTGGTGGAGAAAGAAGGAAACTTTCTAGAAGAGATCCTAAGCAGAGAAAGTAGGGCCAAACTGCTTGAAAGAAACCAGACACTGCAGCAACTGTTTTTTCCTTTAAGCTTTGTATAAACACAAGGACAAGGAAGCAGGGCAATAAAGTTCACTTCATTTTCTTGGTGAATCAGCTTTTAGAATCCTGTTTCTCAGGCTGCTGAGAGGAATAATCAATAAAAAACAGTGTTGAAGTAGTTTGCAAACATAAAGCTTTATCGAGCTGCAAAGTAATGATAATTAGCCTGGGCAAGATGTAGGCAGAACAGTTTTACAACATGGGTAACTGAAACTTAGGGAGTAACTGAAAGTGCCAGTGAAGGCAGAACTAGAATTTGCAATGCATTAGTCTGTATCACAGCCCGAAGCTTAAATTACAACTTTGGTAATAATCCTTTTGTGCTAATATCCTGGGGAGTTGAATGCACCAAGAGTCCAAGGCCCAGGAAATATGTGAGTGTCACATTCTTCAATAAATCAAAAGGTCTCTGGTTTTATTGGTGAGGACATTCAGCCCATCTCTCCACACCCTAATAGTCAATTTCCTGAGATGCTATGGCCAGTAATATTCATTGCCTGGTAAGTGAAGTTTCTAGGGATTGCTTCTTCACATTTAATGAACTTGGTCCCTAACATACAGAATCTGCCACCAGGCCAAAATTCATTCTTTTCATCTTATTAGAACTTGTAAGAGCTTACTTTCTGCTAAGATATGGTCGTTTCATCATTGTACTAATCAATGCCTCTTAATTACCTGTTGACTAAACTGTTTTGTATTCAAGGTTCTTTATAATTTGGCTTCACTGTATCTTTCCAGGTATATCTTACAATCTTCCCTTCCTTCTATTCCAGCTAAATTGGTCTCAATTCCCACTTCCACATCTTTACTTATTCTGAATTACATGTTATACTTGGAATCAAGTAAGTAAACATTTATTGACTGCTAGGTACTGGAAAATGAAAGAGTCCCTACTCACAGGGCTTATATTCTAAATGCTCTCCTTTCTCATTTGCTGTTGAATTTCTACTGCCACTGTCTTCCTGCTTCCAACTCATTGTTCCCAGAATTCTCTCTCACATATATATACCTGGTTATACCACCCCTGTGTTCAAAAAGCTTCAGTGATTTCCTTTTACCTCCAACTCCACTTCTTGGCCTTCAAAGGCCTCTACAACCTGATGCTATCCTGCATTTCCATCCTGTTATTATTTCTCTCCATATTCTCCTGCTAAACTTGAGGACTCTTAGTCCCCCAAACCTATCTTGTGCTTTCCTACCTTTTTGCCTTTGCTCAAGCCCTTGACTAGTCTAGAAAGCTTTGTCTTCCCCTCTTTTCAGTCATTTTCAACTCTTCATGACCCCATTTTGGGTTGTCTTGGCAAACCACTGGAGTGGTTTGTCATTTCCTTCTCCAGATCATTTGACAGATGAGGAAACTGAGGCAAATAGGGTTAAGTGACTTGCCCAAGGTCACACAGCTAGTGTCCAAGGCCAGACTTGAGGACTCTAGGCCTTGGCACTCTAACCACTGTGCCACCTAGCTGCCTTTAAAGTCCAACTGCTGGAAGCCTTCCCTGAATAGAGGAGGAGGGGTGTCAGCAAAGACTCAGGGAGTAGTCTAGGGGGTACAGGGATAAGAATACTAGCCTTAGTGTCAAAAGAGTGATTATTTATGGTCATTACTTAAGCTTCTTAAAAATTAGCTTAAACATGCCATATTTGTAGATCCACAGGCTCTCGGGTAGTGGAACAGACTACGCTAGGTATCTTATATTTGTATCCCCAGCATCCTGGACATAGTAAGTGCTTAATAAATATATAGATAGACTACCTTGGAATGGGTGTAAGATGAACACTATAAATCGTTTCTATCCAACTCTGACTTTCTATGGTTTCCTACCCCAGACTACTAGGGGCTTGGTGTCAGAAGACCTAGGTTGAAGTTCCCACTTCAGTGTTAGTTGTGTGACCGTGGGCAAGTCATAGAAATCTCTGAGTTTCTTCATGTGTACCACTTACCAGGGTTATGAGAAATGTACATTTCAAGCCATATATTGCTATATAAATGTGAATTATTGCTATCATTCTCACTCTAACTTGAATTCCTCTTCCCCCAGATGTACTGTTTTCTAAGGGGAAAAAAAAGCAAGAGACATTTTCACAGCAAAACCTACGAGGCTTTTATCCCTATAAGAGCTCCTTTAGTCAATACTTACAATCCACGAGAGCCAGAAAGCTCGATTCTCACACAGTGATGAGACACACTGAAACCATTTCCATAAGTCAAGCATGCCAAACATATAAGCTTATATAAGTTTACCACTTATATAAGAATATATAAGCTTACCAGTAGGCCCATGGAAAATCTTTAGAACCTGATGCTATCTCATAAAAAGCAGCTATAATTTAATGGCTCTGTTTTGTGAGGTCATATTTTGTCCCACTGGTGAGCCTGTTTGATAGCCTGGCCATAAGGAAACCATCCAGACTGAACTTTCAGATAGAATCTGACTACTGCTATTGTCTTCAAGTTTCTTTTCTTCCTCTCTCCCTCCCCCACCTTTTTATGGTCTGTCTCGTGATTACCTTAAATCTTCCTAATTACAGACAGGTCAGAATTTGTGAGCACAACATATTAAGGATCCATCCATACAGACAGGCAGCAGGAAAGCTTGAATTACCAATATTACCCATACATAGAAATGTCCTGGTCTGACTTGTGCCCACTATGAGAACAGGTGCTGCTTGCTCCCCAAGTCAGAACCCCCAAGCTGAGACTCATCTAGACAGAGAGAGGTATAGAGAAATATTTTCCCTTCTGTGGGTGTAAAAAGGTAATAACATTGCTCCAGAGTGCCCATCTTCCTTTCTCTGCCATTTTTCTCCATTTCCCTCCATGGACTCCCCCAATCCCTATCCCATAGAAATGCTGAGGAAGGAAGATATATTCCTGGCTTTAGTTGGAACTCAAAATATGTTTCCCATTAGAAATAATATTCTAAATGGTGATTAGGAGTAGTTCAAATAGTCTGTGAGAATTATACTTCCATCATATTATAGGTTAATAGGCTTTTGTGGACAGAACTCAGACTCAAGCTACTATGTATTAGTAGCTGCTAGCTATGGGAAGATGTGTTCTAAATTTCAAAGAACTGACTTTAAAAATGACTATCTATAGCACAACTTGTTGATAAGTTGGGTCCTTCTTATAATCTTCTCTGAAAGGTTTTCATTCTAAATCTCCTTCAGCTAGTTTATGCTGTGAAACCTCACAAACCCATCTCTCTCACAGAAGGAATCCGGGGGCTGAGGTAGAGCAGGGTGAGCTTTGGTTTCAAATGGGCCAAGAAGTTCAGGCTTTAAAAAATACTTCCTGCTGCCACATGACCTTTCTCAACAGTGACAGCATTGTTCCCTGAGGCTGTGGACACAGGCACTGAGCCCAGGAGAATAGTGTTGCTAGACTGACAGTAGTCATCAAAGCTATTTTAGACTGTTAAAAATGGCAACTGGATAGTGTCAAAAATCACCACTGCATGCTTGCTTTCAAAGTTTCATCTTTAATAAGGCTACTGGAAACTAGAATGTCTTTTTTCTTGAGTTTTCTTCTCTACTGCAGGAAGGAGAAATCAGAACTAAATCAGAGTATCCAAAGAATTGCATTCTAACAGAGAATTTAGACCTGGTTAATGTGTTTGAATGTTTAAATTTTTATCCGTGACCTGGACATATAAATCCCACTGTTCTCCAAGCTCAGAGCCAAATGACTGACTTCAAAGATCATCTGTGCCTACCTGTAAGCACCAACCTGCTGACATGCCAAAGATTTTTGGGCTTACCTGGAATGACTTTCTCCAGCAGCACTTAAATAGTCAACATCTGGAGGATCTGCCCCACAGGGAAAAATAGTACTTTCCTTTTGATGAGCTCCAGAGACAAAGAAAGCATATTCTTCCCAGGTTAATTTACCGTGGAATCAAATCCAGCTGACTCCCAAGATTAGATTAAAATGGAGGAGGGGAAGAGAAGGGAGTTATATATTTCATTGGGAGGCAAGGGGGAAAGTGAGTTTCCTTAGATAGGTTAGCCTATGTTTTACCTTATAGCAGGATTGCTTTTTATAAAAGGAGACCCTTCCTTTGGCTGTCAACAAGTCATGTTTATTAACTATCCAATTATATTATCAAATTAATAAGAGTCGGGGGCAGCTAGGTAGCGCAGTGGATAGAGCACTGGCCCTGAAGTCAGGAGCACCTGAGTTCAAATGTGACCTCAGACCAAACACTTGACACTTACTGGCTGTGTGACCCTGGGCAAGTCACTTAATCCCAATTGCCTAAAAAAAAAAAAAGGAAAAAAAAGAAATTAATAAGAGTCGTTTAGGAATACTAGGTGGTACTCATCATAGCTCAAAGGAGAAAAGCTTTGAAGACTAAACAAATGGACCCACATACACATATAAAGCAAGGGAAAGGAGAAAGAAGAACTTTCTAGAAAATAAAAGTATTTACAAAATTTTGAAAGAATTATCCAAAGTCCCATAAATTATTTGATCGATAAGGTAACCAACACCTGTTCTAATGTGTGCAGGGCTCAATGTAGATGGCCGTGGGGAAGTAGGATCCTCTTACTCAATAGTAGCTGATATTACATGGCACTTTATAAAACATCTTAATAGATATGTGGGTATTTTTATTCCTGTTTTACAAATGAGGAAAAAGAGGTACAGTGAAGTTAATTGGAAGAAAAGCAGCAATAAGACATTTATTAAGTGACTTCTATTTGTCATATGTTGCCAAATATGTTGCAAATATTATCTCACTTGATCCTCACAACCACTCTGAGAGGTAGATGTTATGATTATCCCCATTTTCCAGCTGAGGAAACTGAGGCAGACAAGTTAGGTGACTTGCCCATGGTCACACAGCTAGTAAGTGTCTGAGGCTAGATTTGAACTCAAATCTTCCTGACTCCTGGACCAGTGCTCCATCCACTATACCACATCACTACCTTGACTTAACCAAGGTCAGGGCTGACCAGCCAAACTCATGCCTTCTGTCTTCAAACCTAGTTCTCTTTCCCCAATCCTGCAGCTGTTTCCTGAAAATATCTTCCTCACATTTTCTACCAATTAGGGAACTCTTTGGGCAAATAAATGTCCCTTTTCAAATGCTATTATGACTTAGGATATTTATACCACAACATGAATTACTCTAATCAGACTTTTTTTTTTTTTTGGTGAGGCAATCAGGGTTAAGTGCCTTGCCCACGATCACACAGCTAGTTAAGTGTTAAGTGTCTGAGGCTAGACCTGAACTCCGGTCCTCCTGACTCCAAGGCCAGAGCTGTCTTCACTGTGCCACCTAGCTGCCACTTAATCAGATTTTTTTTTCTATTGCCACCCAGCTGATACCTTACCCACTAAGAGAAAAGGAGTTTTGATAAGGGAGTGGGACTCCAAGGTGGTAGATTTAGAGCCAAAGACACCTTAGGGGCCAAGTAGTTCATCCCCCACATTTTATAGGTGAGGAAATTGAGACCTAGAGGTGACTTGCCTAGGGTTGCACTAGTAGTTAGAGGGAGAGCTAGCTTGAAAGCCAGGTCTTCTCACTTCAAATCCAGAATTTTTTTCACCATACCAAAGAAGGAGGCAAATACCAGGGGAAAGGAAGGTTGGAACTGAATCAGATGCTATTTTCCAGAAAGGATTCAAATTCCATTCACTCCCTCTGTGACCTAGGCCAAGTCACTTAACCATTCAGGTCTCAATTCCCTAGTATGTAAAATGAAGGAATTGGATTACATTAACTCTAAGATCTCTTATAGCTCTGTCAATAACCCTAAAGTTGTGTGAGTAGACCTCTGGGGGAGCAGAGAGGGAGGTAGGAGTATGCTAAGTTAAAGCCTGACCTACTTTCCCCCGGGATCCTAGGGGCAGCCACTAACAATTGCTCCTCTAAAGCTGGGATGATGCTTAGGAGATGAGGATGTGACCCATGCCTTTCACTTTTATATTCCCTAGACTCTGGGTTATTTCAATAGTTATTATTTTTATAATCTTTCCAGCTTTGGTCATCTTATTAGTATGAAAGAGTATTTCCTGCCAAACCTTCATTCCCAGAGTTGCCTGATTAGAACTGAGCTAAAATTCCACAGCATTGCTCTCACCGTGATTTACAGCAGCTCGCTGTGTCTGGAGAACTCGGCACATAGCAGCTCCCGTCAGGCTTCATCAGCTCTGACTTTGCCTTTTCCTGGAGGACTTTCTAAATAGGCTCCAATTGTATTTCTTCTCAGTGCTGGTTATTGTTTCTTTGGGGTGTTGTTACCTTAGGCTTATCTATATTAAATCTCATCTCCATTTCTGTCTCCTGCCGCCA